GTCTATAATGGGTCAGACGGATCTCTTGGACTTGTTAACCACAATACTGTTATACCGAAGATAACAGTTGACAAAATATAAGATATTAAGCAAGACTTATATGTCATTTCCTTTTTTATTCAGTTTTATGAACCTTTCTGTAGGCCTGTGTATTAATATTTTTTTGAAGTGAACCATAGACACACCATTTGTGAATAAACATTAGCACCATTAATATTGTAATCAGATGTTAATCAGGTGAAAACTTAAAACATCAGTCAAAATTATACTTTACTATAGTAATCACCATACAAAATAACATCCTTTTCCCGAGGGTAACTGCACGTAGGCAGAATAGTTAGCCAATAGGGAATATTAACGTCGTAAAAATAACCCGATACAGTACTTCAAGCGGGCAACTGACCCTAGGCAAAATAGCTGTATGGAAATGAGCATGTAGGCAAAAAGGTATCAGGTCCGTTCGCACCTAATACACATTCGCACCCTAAACGTTCGCCCCATAGGTCCGTTCGCAACTAATTTTTTATCCAAATTCCAGTCGAATTATTTGATAATTTGTTATATGTATACATGGTATATACCAAAAAAATATATATTTTCCTGAATAAAAATTGCGGAATTATTACATGAAATGTTTTTTTTATTTATTTATTTTTTATCAATTTGATGATTAATTATTAAATGTTAATTTTGTATGATTACTGATAATTAGTATATAAACACAGCTAAATTTGGTATTATTGTTGTTTGTTAGAAAATCATGATTGTTGTTTTAACTTGCTTTGATGTAAATAGTGCATGTATTTAGCTTGGTATGAGTAAACCATTGAAGATTTAAAATGAAAAACACGAAAGATAATTGTTTTTAACAGTTTGGCCCCTTTGAGCTTACTTTATTTTGAAACAATGAAAAAAAAAAATTATAGCAATACACTTACCAAACGTGTCGTGATTAAGATTTATTCAACACAAAAAAAAAAAACAAACGAACGGACTTTGGGTGCAAACGTGTTTTTGGGCGAACAGACCCTGATTACAGGCAAAATATAAACTTCTTTGGATGGAGTTTGAAAGATATTTTTCCAAAAATAACTAAATTGATATCAAACTATCAGTTCAGTTCAGAACAATATTAATAATACAGTTATGGCCCACAAAAGTTAACATCCAAAATTATTAAATCTAACAGACCTCAATAATTCTTTTCTCGATTTGATAATTGTGGCTATTAACTTTTGAAGGCCATAATTGTATACTGTTTGGGTAACAATAACAACACAAGATGATGACACTGACATAACTGACAGTGTAATTAGAGCTGTATCTAAACACTTAATATTCTAAAACAAATATTCAATTAAAACTCGTCTGACCAACCAGACAAGCCCCTTTGATACAAGTTACAACACCACATCAATAAAATAATAACAGGGACGTGTATAAATAAAAATAAAAGAAATATTGTTTTGACGTAAATTTTGATTATCAAAAATCTTCTACCGGACATTACCCAGACAAGAAATCATCGTCATCTCGATTTTTGACAACAGTTGCTTCTGTATTCAATCTTTGTGCCCTGTTTATTAACATTTGCAGACGGGCTGCGGACGATTCGGCCATATCTTTACTTTACCGCCAATCTCAAGAAAAATCCGGAGGCTGTCCGAATAGTTAGAGAGATACACTAATGACGACAGAATATTTTTAGAAAATACTTTGTAACAAACATTTTGATTGGTTGACAAAAGTGCAAAACTTACGGTATGGAATTGAAAACCAACACGTTGGTTTTTCATACCGTATGAATTACGAATCAACGCGTTGAAAATAATAACCAACGCGTTGAAAGTGAAAATTAACGCGTTGAAAGTAAAAACCAACGTGTTGAAAAATTCATACGGTATGTACATATCGCCAATGACACGAACGGCCACTCATAGGCCTGTGCTTTCGCTCCAGGACTTCGGTCAGCATACTGACAATACAAAGAAACAAAAATTTTAATAAATGACAGGTATAAGAAACCTAGAAATGACCAGATATGACGATTTTGCAAAGCAATGCATTTGCTCATATAACAAATAACCAAGACTCATAAAACAGTTTCATATTTAAAGACAAGAAATACATAAATATCACGGAATCTCAATGTGAAAAACTTCTATGGATTTTGAATAAGACCCCCCAATCCCCCCCCCCCCCAAATCACCCTTTAAACAGCTTTAAAATAGAAAATTCCGAAAATTTGGGCCATATACAAATAAGATTATAAAGGCCTTGGCGTAAGTAAATTAAGTGTTTCAAGTAATTAAATATTTTATAAAAAAGCAAATTTACAGGAAATAAAAAATTCATTGATATATCATGTTAGACTCATCAAAGGTACATTGGTTTATAATTAAGTACACCAGATGCGACTATAAAACGTGCTGTCAACTGGGCTTTTGATACCACCGGGGCCGAAACGTCAACCAACATTGGCATGGTCCCAGTTGTTATTTAAAACACAAACAGTTCTGACTACAGGTCTTGTGATACCCCCCGGAAACCACACTTCCACCAGCAGGGGCGTCGACCCAGTGGTTGTAAAACTCATCAAAGATACATTGGTTTATAATTAAGTACACTAGACGCGACTATAAAACGTGCTGACAACGGGGTTTTGATACCACCGGGGACGAAACGTCAACCAACACTGGCATGGTCCCAGTTGTTATTTAAAACTCACCAAGGAAACCAGGCTTATAATTTTGTAGGCTAGTTGGGAGTTCCGTCTACCAAAGACTCATTACTAGCGCTCGCATCGACGCAGTAGAAAGGCCAACTCAAATACTAGGTTGAAGAGCTTTAAAATAGAAAATTCCGAAAATTTGTGCAAATACAGCTTAGAATAAAAATATATGCCTTGTGTTAGATAAAACCTAGTAAGTGTTTCAAATAATTCAACAATTTATAAAAAGCAAAGGACAAGGTACGATAAGCCCCCGTTTTGGCACCCCTATTTTCTCATTTTTCAAATTTTGTTTTGGAAAGCTACTAATTATATTGAAATATTCCCTTAGGTTTGAAGTTTGTTTGGATGAACTTCAAAACCATTAGTTTCAGCAACTAAGTGAGGTGAGGGGGGGTGAAAGGGCATAAAAAAAGCCAAAAGTAGGAAAAGGAACGATTTTTTAAATAGCGTGCGCCTACGTGACCCGGAGAAAATTATGGCGATCTAGACAGCAAAAACAGTGATAATAAAAAAATTCCTGGGTCACGTTGGCGCAGGCACTTAAGAACTAAAACATCGTTGTACGGAACACCTCCAAAGTGAATAATAATTACAATATCTGAATAATAACGGAAAGTTTACCCCCTCCCCCTATCTCACCTCACCCAGTTGCTGAAATTAATGGTTTTATCGTACCTTGTCCTTTATAGGAAATGAACATATCAATGATACTTCATGTAACCACAAAAATTGCTAACTACTGGTCTTGTGATACCCCCAGGGATGAAACTTTCACCAGCAGTGGCATCAACCCAGTGGTTGTAAAACTCATCAGATACATTAGCTTATAATTTGGTACGTCAGACGCGCGTTTTGTCTGCGTAAGACAATTCAGTGGCGCTTAAAATAAAAAAAAAGATAGAAGGCTTTGAAATACAAGTAAACAATTCCGAAAAGTTTGGTAAAAAATGAATAAGCCAATATATAGGTTTTCGGGAAGAAAACAGTATTTCTTTTAATAATCCAACGTTTAATAAACAATAAATTTACAAAAATGAACATATCAATGATATTTTATGTTAGCACAAAATACGGATAAGGAATGAACGTCTTGAACTTCTTTTATGATTATATCAATGAAAAGGTAGAACAGACAGTCACTGGAAATATATCAAGGACTTAAAGTCAAAACTAGTTGTTAGATGGTTCTTTCTTTGACTTACGAAAGACTTTCTTAAAATTATTTTGCATTTTTCTTTACCTTTATAATTCAAATGGTTTTCAAAACAAAAACGTATGTTCAAAACATTCATTATGTTTTAATTTGAAAAACAACCTGTCAAAGTGACTTCATAATGAACTGACTTTATGGACCAAAGAAATATATCAGTTGTAAGTTTAAAATATTATAAATCTTCATTAAACAATCATAATGAACATTTCCTAAAAAAAATTATCGCATGAAATATCAAACTATTTTAAGCAAATTAATTTTGACTCGTTATTTTACGTATTTTTTTTTTTTTTTTTTTTGGTTTTCTGTACTGTTTTTGTGTTGTCTTTTGACTTTCAATCTGTTTCCATATCTATTTGTGTACTTTCATAAAATTCTTATGCATGTATTTTAAAAATTATTTGAAGCATTGGACCAGATCATGATTCCTCTGCATTTTTCGACAATACATGCTACAAAATTGTACATCTTGCGTGCCGACATATATATGAATCTGTCTATTTTAGGCTCATTCATGTTTCTTGGAATTCATTTGACTCACTTTTTTGCAAGGCACATTGAATTTTAAAATATTGGCATACTGCTCACGAAGAACTGAAGTTCCTAACCGAAAACAGATAAGGCGGAAAATAAAACTCCTTTTCATTTCTGACAAGCGCTAAGCTTACAATAAGAATTATTACATTTATTTCACACCCTATCTGGTCGTTACGTTTAGCGTATAAAAATCATTATGAATTGTTATCATAACTTCAAACCTCTTTCTAAATATATATTACTTATCATTATAACAATAGAACTTCGTCTACAGTGCAATGCAATACATGCCAATCAGTCACATTTCCTCCCTTTAATGTGAATGGAGCTGTAATATTTATCTTATATCCTTTTATGATTGGATCGATCGGTTTATGAAATATTCTGCCATAATCTATTCAGGTTTTGTCATATCGTGGTATTATATAGAGACCACTAGCACGTAACACTCAACTAGTGTTTATAAACTTAGCAATATTATTGACGAAAAACAATAATTGAAAAAGTTTTGCAAATATGATTAACTCATCTTTCAATACAACTAATACTGCAGTCACTGCAGTGCCGGAGGAAATTTATTTATTTTTAGGTTTATATTTATCTTTTGTGTGTTTTATCGGTGTTACCGCAAACGGACTTTCGCTTGTCGTCTTTTTTCGATTTAGTCATCTTCGAACTCCAACGAATACATTCATTATTGCATTACTAATTAACGATATAATTATGTGCTTAGTTGGTATACCTTTATCAGCAATAGCGAATTTTCAAGGATATTTCCTATGGGGTTTCTCTGTTTGTGTATTTCAAGGCTTCATAATGTATTTCGGTAGTATCAGCAGCATGTATATTCTTACTGCAATTTCTTTGAACAGATATATAGTCATTGTCATCAAAAGACCTTTGTCACGGAAAAAAGTAAAATATATGCAAAGTAATATAGCATTAGTATTCTGTTATATTTTTGGCTTGTTTTGGAGTGGTATTCCGTTCTCGGGATGGACAAGATACGAATACGAAGCAATAGGAACCACGTGTTCAGTTGCATTTAACAGTTCGGACTATCTGATTCTTAGCTACAATATCTCAATATTCATCTTTTGTTACTTGTTTCCAGTTTTAACAATGGTATATTGTTATATCAATATAGTTCGAATGGTAAGTTAACTTTTATTATATTCATAACCATATAGTCTGATTTTGATGTTTGAGAGCGTAATTGGAATATTTGAGCGAATAACATGTATATGAAGATAATTACAGTCTCTTTCCTTAAAATATAGACTGAAAAAAAAAATTGTTTGTTTGCTTCCTTTTTTTCCATTTTAGCTACTTAAATATCATGCTGATTCTGGAATTACCATTCATAAAATTGTATTATGCCTAGTTATAAATGGACTTAATATGCGACTGTAACTACTTGATAACTTTGTTGTGACGATTATGATTTCAATATCTTGAATTTTTTATATATTTTGTCACAATGTTATGAAAATTAAACGAGCCAACTCTATTATAGTCAATGTGTTGGGTACCCCTTTAACGCTTTTTTATATAGTTCAAACAAAATTAGCAATGTTTGCAAAATCAACAACTACCTCCTCGTCTATTCAAAAATATTTCCTTTTGTTTTCTTGTCTAATTAATATTGCAATCAATGCGTTGGCCTATACTGTGTATATCAATTTTGTATTAGTCAATATATTCTTTTTGGAAGATCTTCATTTTCTATATTTGTTAAATGTTCACGGATTTACAATAAAGGCAACAGTAGTATACCTTTATTCGAATTTTATAAATCGATTGAGAAAAAAACAAATCCGGGTTACAAACTAAAACTGAGGGAAACACATCAAATATAAGAGGAGAACAACGACACAACAGAAACACAACACTAAAATGCAACACACACAGAAACGAACTATAATATAACAATGGCCATTTTCCTGACTTGGTACAGGACATTTTAAGAATAAATGGTGGGTTGAACCTGGTTTTGTGGCTAGCCAAACCTCACACTTTTATGGCAATGTTAAATATAACACTAAAATGACACCATTACATGACATGAATACAGTACAACATTACGGACAGAGAATTACGCAAATAAACAATACAATAAAGTACATTTGGACAACGAAACAACAGAAACACTGAAGTGAACAAACAACAAACGACAATGCAACATACACAGAAACAAACTATACGATGACAACTGCCATTTTCCTGACTTGGTACAGGACATTTTTAAGAACAAAAATGGTGGGTTGAACCTGGTTTTGTGGCTAGCCAAACCTCCCGCTTTTATCGCAATGTTAAAAATAACACTAAAATGACAAGATTAAATGACAGGACTACAATACAAATAAATGGGAGAACATACAGGACAGAAACACACACAAATAATAGCTATCAAAAGGTACCAGGCTTATAATTTAATACGCCAGAAGCGCGTTTCGTCTACAATGCCATTTCCAATTTCAATTATTGCAATATGTTCGGCTTCTTTAAACCATTCAAAACAATTTAAAAAAATCATAAATTAATCAAAACTAATATAGAAATATTACTAATATAGAAATTTTTTATGGAAGTAGATTATATGTATATCACAATCACATTTATTTCAATAGATTTGGGTTTTTAATAATCTGATATAGTCGATCGAGTTGGTTTTTAGTAATGAAAGTTAAGAAACTGCTCTAATTTAATGCCCGAAGACATGATAAAAACCGTATTTTCTTTTCGTTTAGCAGATAAATTGCATGTTTTCCATACAATAATATTGAGAATTATCCAACATGCAGAATAAAATATAGTTAATTGTTTATTTCTATATTCTATCATAAGATATTATGAGTCATAAAAGAGTAGCCATCTCAATTCACACTAAGATACCTATGTAATTACTACCCATTGGTCGAGATTAAAGATATCTGATTGCAAAAATATAAATTTGAGTACGACAAGATATTAATGACGAGACATCAAATAAGGTTATTTCAATTTGCGGTTTTTGTGTTTCTTTTTCTTAAATACAAGACACTAGAAGCCAAAAGCAAATATATAAGACAATGTCCAATTTATAACTGACCACTTAATGTCTTTTGGACATTTGAAGGGTGTTACTTGGCAGATTTTTAATAATTGATGAATTTACTAGGCCCAAATAGTGGAATTATCAAGACTTCATTTTTGCAATACAAACTAGAGTAGGATATCATACTGCGAGTGCATAATCCTCCAAGAGAATAATGTCTAGCGATTTGTATTCTGTTTTGAACTCACTTTGCATTCATTATTATTGATGGCTTCATTTCCTATTATGAATCGAAATGTATAGTTAACTTAATTAAGACACAAAAACATCAATTGATTCTTTTTAGAATAGTATAAATTAATTAATTTCGGTAATCTTCACTACATAGTTAATTACAAAGTGGTAGACTTTTAATTTGATTTTTATCTTTTTTTGTCTGGTGACGTCCTGTTTACCTCTTATAGAATATACCTTTTAACATCAGTTGGTTTAATGTGCGTATGTTTGCTGTGTCGCTTCAGATTGTAATGTATTGTTTTGATATTTTGTGGAAAAATTTGTATTAAGTTAACAAACAAACTTTAAGTTTTTCAATTTTTTTTTTTTTTTTTAATTTTTGAAAAAAATGAGGACTTTTCAATCAAATCATTCTTTGTTGTTTAAAAGACAAACGGAAATTTTGTCTGTCTTTCTTTAAACCTGTTTTTTTTATCCCTGTTGGGGGTTAATATTAGTTCATATCTTTGTTGCAAATTTTATGAAACAAAGTTTGACTGATGCTTTCAGCCAGTCGTTGAATTTTAAATGAGGAATACGTGTGTAAACGTTAGAAAAGAGGGCCAAAAGATACCAGAGGGACATTAAAAACTCAAAAGTCGAAAATAAACTGACAACGCCATGGCTAAGAAAGAAAAAGACCAAGAGACAAACAATAGTACACAAAACACAACATAGAAAATTAAAGACTGAGCAACACGAACCCCACCAAAAACGATTTGCTTTAGGGCTTTATCTGTGATGACAACAGAGATTTTGTTAGGGAAGTAAGACCGCTTTGATTGACTAATACGTCTTTAATTATAATTTGTGTCAATGACCCGACATCTTTAAACATTCGGAGTCACAATGTTCTCTTTTCTGCGTTACGCTTTTCTCTGGAATAATCGTTTAAAAAAATCCATTAGAATCCTACAGTTGTTTCTAGTTTTGACGTTTAGGTTCACGCTTTTTCGGCCATTTGGCTTAAAGATTTCTGTTAGAATTGTTGCTGACAATGATTAGGTGATGTTTTGGCCGTTGAAAAGTTAAGTTGTAGCACACATGTAGATATAAGAGATATGTGGAGCAGATTTATCTTTAAAGTAAAAGGAATTTTAGATTTGACTAATGTATGAAGAAAGGTATTGCCTAAATTAAAAACATCAAGCCTTGTTTTGTAAAAGAAAATTAGATTGTTCTACATGAATCTGTGTAATGGCCTACATTTTACTCCTTTTGTTGGAAAATCATGAATTAATATTGGAATTACAGTGTTTATCAGTAATTCTATTTACACGTAGCCCGTCTGCTTATTCTTAGTAAGTAGGGTATTTAGGTCAGTGAAACAAATATCCCCAGTCAACATTGAGTGAAACAATGAAAACATAATAGGTTTAAATTTTATTAATTTGAATTTATTTTCAGATTCGTAGGACTAAACCTCAATTGCTTAGAAATCAGAAAGTAATGAAGAGATGGGTGACTATGGAAAAACGCCTTGTTAGAACGATACTACTAATGATATGTAAGCGAGTTTATTACTTTAATCATGATTCTTGTTATAATTATTACAATACATCATTGATATTATTATCACTGTAGATACGGCGTCTTGATTTTCCTTTTAAAACGTATTAAGATTTGTTCTAAGTTTGGTTTAAATAGTGCATGAAATATTAAATAATAAAGGAATATTTTTGCCCATTTATGTAATAACAATGTTCAATATTAAATATTCTTTTATTGCTCATTTCTAACATTTCAAATTAGGCAAAAAGAAAAAGCAGACCCTACAATGGCTTTGCTTTTGTACTTGATTTCTCAAATACTTTTGTCATTGAACCATTATGCAACATTTAAAAGTGAAAGTGCGAGTAATTGGAGATTTCGATCTCAGATTTTCAAGTTGATCAAGAAAAAGACATTTTATGGTTATGCAGATTTTAAAATGTGATTAATCGTAATACACTTTCATCAGTTAATTGTCTTATTTCATGGAAATTAAAATCAAGTGTTCTTTATGTTGATAATATATTGCGTATTAGTATCCTTTACAATTGTTATAACCTGTTAACACCATTACTAAACTTGTTCAAATGATTTACAAAAATGCAAAGGAAGCAAAAGCGTTAATCATAACAAATTTTCTAGTTACTTGTGGCAAAATATCATTAAAGTAACAAGGTACCACTGATCATAATTCGTAGCAGGAGAGACAGTGTCGTTTTAAAAGAAAAGGACGAAAGATGGAATACACAAACATCAATAACAAAACACTACTTATAATACTAAACAATGAACAACACAACCCTACAAAACTTGTAGGGGTTGGCTGATGTGTTTCGAAAATGTAAGAAGTTATAGCTCTACTAGTGGCTCCAGCAGTGTTACCCCTGTTAAAATATAATGAAAGGTCACAAGTCATGTTTTGCTTAAGGTATCGTACGGTTTAAAGGGTAATTGTTTTGTAATCTTCAGACAAAAATTATTAAGGTAACAACACAGGTAAATTATCTAACTATCATACATTACACAATTCTCAAATAACAACATTGTTTTATCGAAACGATAAATGATAAATAAAATCGAAATTGATAGAAATGACACAGTTATTGAAAAAATAGACTATCACAAATTAAAAAAAACACTACAGCGAAAGCCAGACGATGTACAAAAGAGACAATCATCACAACCATTGCAATTAAAACGTCAAAAAGACAAACACCAGTCAACTAAACACTAAATATATAACTCAAGAATGAGCAACGAAATAAATCCTACTTCCAAAAAAGGAACCTTTAATGCACTAGGACTGCAAGCACTTCCTAATGACAACGGCTGTTTACTATATTAAAAGTCACAATAAAAAAAGAGATGAGTAATATTTGTTGAAGGTTACAAATGAGGAAAGGAGAATTGGATTGCGGCTTAAAAAATGGAATATAAAACAAATAGTAAAACTCCAATTACAGGTTTATTTTTCTCTTGGTCATGGTTTCTATGATCATCATAAATATTTATTTTAATCTATCCTCTGTT